GTATTTTGGTCATTTTACAGCAGTGTATTTCAATCATTTCTTTTCATCCGATCTTACTATTAAATTCAATCTCTTATATTAGTCATTTGATCCATATTCAGTTACCGAATTTCTACCACATTCATATCGAGTGTATAAATTAACCAACTCCACAAAAGTGACCAACATTATCTTATTCATGTATTTACCAATATTAATATGTTCCATAAAGTATAAAGAGGTAGTAAAGTATTATCTCGATTTCCGTGCAATACTGATAGACCATAAAAATTCCATTCGAACGCCTATGATCTTCAATTCAACTTCCAATAATTCCTCAGATACATATCAACATAAATTATATAAAAAAATGGAGCTTAATTACGATAAACAGATCAAATCGGGTGATAAATCAAATAAAAACAGCTTACTGGGTTTGAATTTGGCGAAACGGACTTCGGATTCAGGATGTCGAAAGCACAAAATATGAATTTTCAAAAATTTGGAATTTTCGGTCAAAATCAAGGTCAACGGGTTTGACTACCAATTTTGAGGCCTTCATGTCTGAATTTCAAAAAACGGATTGCGGAATCAGATTTGGAACGTCGAAAAATGTCAGGATAGGTATACTCGGTCAAAGTCAAAGGTCGTTTAATGCCCGGTCAAAGTCGGTCAAAATTTTGGTCAACATCGGTCAACGGTCAATGAGTCAGGTCAACGGGTCGGGTTATGACCGGTCAAAACAAGAGCAAAACCAATTATTTTTTCTTCCTCGTGGGGGTGCGTGAACAATGCTAAATTCCCGGAAAAATTCCTAAAAGTTATTTTAAGCGATTTCGAGATACTTACAAAGCTCGATTCAAATTTTTGAACGGCAGAGAGCTCGATTTCAACGAATCGGAAACTTTGACCACTTCACCTCCTCACGCGCCGCCATTGACGGAGACCAAGGATGACATCGGCAGACTCGGAACGATGCAAGGAACACGATGGTGCGAGAGGTGTCGTAAACGGATGCTCGGATCGTCGTGAATCGATGAAAAATCAACTGAAATCGGGTTATTACCGACAATACTTCCGACTGAAATTAACGACGAACGGCGATGATTCATGATGAAAGGTTTGAGGGGTTTTGTTCCTCGCTCGACAACGAACACGATGGTGGTTTCGGCTTGTTGATCGGAGGTCGGACGGCAAGTAGATCGGAGTTGAAAGTTGGTTGATCGGAGAGGGAAAACTGGGAAAAATGGTTAAATCATGGGTTTAGCCACTAAATTTATTGTACTTTATAAAACGGTCTGAAAACTTTAAAATTTTACAATTTAATCCTTAATTTCTTCCAAAAATACCAATTAAATTCACCACTTTATAATTTCTTAAATTTAGCCCCTAACCATTCTCTCAAAAAAAAGAACATCTTTCTGTCTTTCAAGATACTCAACTCTCTCCAGTATCCCTACCAGCTTAGATTCAGTTCTCTTATGAAATGGGTTTAGTGAAGTGAACAACCTACGTACCTTGGTCGTGCTGGTTTGGTGTTCAACTTCGAGCTTCCAGCGCAAAGCTTCGGTCGAAACTTCATCAAGGAGATCCTCTGCATCATATACGGCGTCTTTAAGCTCGTTGAGCCACTTCTTTACGTTGTGGTTCATTATTTGTTTGCCTTCTGCATCGTCTAGAACGGCGTTGATCGACAGCAATGTAGCTTCCAGCTTTTGGAACAATGGGCGGTTCAATTTTTCTCCCCTGATGAAGTCTATGACTTCAGGAGAAGCCATTCTATCGAACAGGACTTGGAGAAAAGAAGAAAGGAAAGCTCCACCCACCAGCTCACCGGCCATTATATTGAATTGTAGGAAACAAGTGGTTTGAGTTGCAGGGATGAAATCTGGAAACTTGCTCACCTAATAAAAACAAGGCTTTTAAAAAGGTCGATGCTTTTAAGCAAGTCAACAATGGCGGCCATGTCCATGGCATTAAAATATATATAACTGACAGTTGAATTTAGGAACTTTACTGTAATCAAAACTAGGGGTTTACTTTAGGGGGCGTTTGGATGGGGGAATGTGGGATTCCCCCGGGAATGGAATCCACATTCCCCCGTTTGGTTTGGCCGGTAATGTCATTCCCGGTAATGTTTTATTACCAATAGTGGATTTTTTGGGGTATATTACCGGGAATGTCATTACCTCCCTTCCCTTAGGTATTGTAACATTACCGGCGTTTTGGACTAAAATGCCCTTAAATTTTTATTTTTTTTCAAAATATCATTATTCTGTCATTAAATAATAAAAATTCTACGAAAGTTAAATTACAAATTTATCCTTAAATTATTTTAGATTTACAAAAAAAAGTCTATAATTAAATTTTTTATGAAGTTCAGGGGTTAAAATAAAATTTTACCCTTTCATTAAACCTTTTTTTTTATATTTTTAATTTTGTAAAAAAATTATATAAATATTACGAATTTAATTTTTTGAAGAAAATATATAAATATTTTACAACTTGTAATATTATACAAATATATAATAAGGACAATTTGGTCAAATATACATTCAAATAATCTTTTATTCCTTTAACCAAACACAGTAATCTTACATTCCTGCTAAACCAACCAAACACAAAATACAACATTCTCAGTAATCCTATTCCCTGGTAATCTTTTATTCCCACTGGTAATCTTACATTCCGTGAACCAAACGCACCCTTAGTGTAAGCCTTTTGACTTTGTAGTCGTTTGACAATTAACATTTATATATTCCTCTGCAGATATCATGTTCAAACTCAAACTTTTAATCCTTGAATGAGTTGAAATCCTTCCTTTAATAAAACAATGCTAAATCATGGATAATATCTATAATCTGTATACACAATTCATAGTATACAGAGTTGGAAACTATATTTAAGTAAACACATTGTTTGAGACCAAACACAGTGATTCTACAGAAAGGTTAGGTGAGGCTAAATCAAAAGAGACGAAATGTAAAAGAAATGCCAAATGCATGGCAATGGCATGGCATCATCATCCCCTTCAGCCGATCTTGTCAGGGTTTGTGTCATCGGAGGGCCAAACCACAGTTTCCGTTAATCGCTTGCGCATCAGTTCCAAATTCTCTTCTGAAATCTCATTATATATCTGACCATGATCACATTTTATGTATAAGCATACAACATAAGTTTCTTCATACTGCCCTCCCAAATTATCAACAACCACAAGTCCACGGTCCTTGCGCTGCTTCCTCCGAGCCTTGTTCAAAATCATCTTGGAAGAGAGCCTCCAATTGGGCCATGAATCAACGAAGGAGCTGCCTAATTCGACCGAACCGGGCCTTGCCTCCGCATGCTTTCTTTTCAGGCTGACGGTGTCGGATGGCAATGCTTCCAGGCACAAACAAGGACCGGTCTGAGACTCTATCACTGATGAACTCACCACGGATAAAGTCCACGCCATCATTGTTGGTGAACTCAGCTCAAACCCGATGAGCTGATCGGCGTAGCTCAAGATTGAGGGGCAAAGAAGATACACAATTGAAGAAAATAGAAAGTGTTGTTTGTGCACAGGGGGAGGTGAAGGTTAACCAGACAGTTTTTGAGGTCCAAATCTGAATCTGGTTCGACTGTTCAGGACACGGAGCCAAAAGGTGGGAATCTTCTTCGATGGATCTTTGGCCCAAAGGAAGAGAGAGTATCTTTTAAAAAAATTATAACCTCGAAAAGTAAATTAATTAGATTAGTTTATCATTTTAAAAATTAATTTTTTTTGAAAGGGTCATTTTTTAAATTATCAAAAAGTAAAATTTAGACATTGAATAATAAAAACTATAAGAGAATAATTAGAAATTTTAATCAAGGAACTTGAAAAATAAAAGATACAAATAAATTATAACTGTTATAAATGAAGGTTAAATACCATCAACACCAACAATAATAATACGTAGACAGTAAATTTTATCATAATTCAACTAAGATATAGGTAATTATAGGAATATGTTAATGTAAAAGAATCGATTTGATAATTTAAAACCTAAAAACAGTCATAGTCAGGGTTTTAATTAGCGTTCGCGGTCACGTTTTTAATTGAGTCGTATTTATCACGGTTGCAGATACAACGAATGTTATTACGGTCATTCGTGAATTTTTTCGAAGGAGCTAGTTTTATTTAATAAAAAACTTGTTTTAAAAAAATTAAAATAACGGAATAATAGTAGAATAGCGGTCCGCGATTGGTCGTGATCTGCTAAATTGCGGCCGCGATCCGCCACTATTGGTGTGATCCCGTTTCACACCGTTATTTTCCGCAATAATGGTTTCGAACACCGCCACTACCGCGATATAACGACCGCGACATCATTATTTGGCCACTATTTAAAACCCCGATCGTAATATATTCATAACTTTCCTTAATCATTGATAACACATATTCACAAACAAAGTTACTTAAAATCATGAAATTTAGAAAATATAGTACTACTTTTATCCATGGAGACTATTGATAGGATCAAAGTTCATACCTATAACATAATTAAATAACTATTATTTAATTTACGACCACAAATTCAAGGTAATTTTGGTTTAATATCGTTGGCGGACTAATTGTTTAGCTCAATAAAACACCAATTTTTTATTTTAAGAAATACAGTATTTACTACAGTGACTTGAAATTTATCATGTCGAAGTGACGAGTTCTAATAAGATATATGTTTTATTGAAATTTGTTATTTCGACGCGATAAAATTTAATAAAAAAATATATTTTATTGAAACTCATCACTTCGACGTGATGAGTTTAAATAAAAAAATATTATTTGAGTAAACTCGTCATGTGGGCGTGACGAGTTTTTCCTGCACTACAATATTTACCGTAGATCTCAAATTAATTTTTAAGATGACCTAATCGGCTAATTTTTTTAACCGTTTGACCCATTGAGCCAATTTTGCCCAAATTCAAACCTGTTAACAAAGCCCATATGAGTAGGCTAATAAATCCAGAAGGACTGCCTGTTTTGATCGTCTCCTATTTCCTTCCCTACAAACGCAGACAAATATCGCATAAAAGGAGGAACTTCAAGTCCAGGAAGTCCGGGACTTCCACTTTTTAGAATCGTCTCACCTTTACTGATTTTCCTTCCCGCCATCTTCTTATTTCTTATTGTTGGATAAATCAGATCTCCAGGCTCTTCTTCCTTACCCTTTTCTGTTTTCCTTAATAAAAAAAAGGGAAATTTCAGCATGTTCTACAGAGGGTAAAATTCACTTCCTCCTTTTTCTGTTTCTTGGTTTTTTTTGTTCTTATCTGTGATTTTTTTATGGGTTTTGTTCTTTAAGTCTGTTCTCGATGAATTTATTTATTCTGTATTGATGGATTTTACAGTTTTGCGTTTTATCTATTGATTTTCATTTGGGATTGTTATTTAGGGCTTATAGCTCAATTTTGGTTACAATGAAAGAATGAAATAAGAGAAAAAAGGAGAGAGAGAAAGATGGGCTTCAAGCTTAAATGGTTTAAGATTATAGTTATCGAATTGATTCCTTTATTTTTCCGTATTTGAATCTTAAATTATTAATCAAATCGATTAATCATCTTGTACATGGTTAGCTATGAATTTACATAAAGTTAATGTCATATGATTTGATTTTTCATCATTCTTTGAAGCACTGAAAACACAAGTGTGCCTTCATTATTGCATTGTTTTTTCATCGAATTCTAGCTACCTTTGCTATCAATATCTATTTAAGTATTGACTGGTCTTCTCTGTTGCCTTCATGATCTTTGGAAACTGAAGTAAATATATTGATGGTGCTGATGGGCGTGAGATGGGTGCAAAACGTCAGCGTATCATTGATCAAGGCCCTTCATTCTATGGTAAACCGCCGGGTTCAAACTTTATGTACACTGTCCCTCCTCCTCCATACCCGTATGTTAGCCAACCTCCACCATTCCCTGTTGTTCGACTTCGTGGTCTTCCCTTCGATTGCACAGAGGTTGATATGGTTGAGTTCTTCCATGGTCTGGACATAGTCGATGTCCTGTTTGTCCATAGAAACGGCAAGTTCACTGGCGAGGCTTTTTGCGTTTTGGGTTATCCTCTTCAGGTTGATTTCGCACTTCAGAAGAATAGGCAAAACATGGGCAGGAGGTATGTAGAGGTTTTCAGAAGCAAGAGACAGGAATATTATAAGGCAATAGCGAATGAAGTGGCTGATGCTCGCGGCGTTTCGCCTCGCAGAAATGCCCCGAGGGCCAAATCATGTGATGAAGCAAAGGAACCCGCTGAACATACAGGGATATTGAGATTGAGGGGCTTGCCATTTTCTGCTGGAAAGGATGATATAATAGAGTTCTTTAAACATTTCATGTTATCTGCGGATGCGATTCATATAGTGTTGAATTCAGAGGGGAGGCCAAGTGGGGAAGCATTCGTGGAGTTTGCGAATGCAGAAGATTCTAAAGCCGCAATGGCCAAGGATAGGATGACGCTTGGGAGCCGTTATATTGAGTTGTTCCCGTCGTTCCCCGAAGAGATGGATGATGCAATTTCCAGAGGACGATGATACTTCTGATGATGTTCTTATTTGCTATTCTGAACCTGTTATGACTTCTTACCGTGTTTTAGGCTTTTATCTGATATGGCTAGTCTTCGATCGTGGATTGTCGAAACTTGTCGGTTACGAGTTGAATTTCGTCTGGACAGGACAGTTTAGGTCAATTAGATTATAGTTTTGCTCTATGGTAGTTGTAGCATTATTTACATTTTGTTAGTCAAAACTTGTGAGGTGTTGTACTCTTGATGGGATTCTTTCTGATACTTATTGGGCAAAAATAATGTATGAACATGTTCGTCCGTATCTCATTGTGGGAAGATTTTGCTTTTTGCTTGTGTGCCTCATATTTATCTTCCTTTCAAGAAGACATGTCCCAAGACTGATGAGCATGGCTTTATTGGTTTATAGATAAGTTTTGTCTTTAACTTTTGTCTAAATAGTTATTTTCGTTTTTATTCAATATTTTTTCAGTGATAAAATATGTCTACATAAGTTGGAATTATGACGTGATATGTTCATGTGTAAGCGACTTATCTTAATGTTCATGTAAAATTATCTAAAGAAATCATCTCTCCGCCTATACCTAATGTTTAGGGCAGCGGTCACTCTGCCCAAAATTTTCCCACGCCCAACACACGTAAGTTTGTGAAAGAATGTCTCCCCTTTCTTGAGTTTCATGCTCCATAACTCGACCTTCTTCCTTGTAATTCGATTCCCCTTTGTGTTTCACAACAAAACCCAAGTTTATCCCCTAATTCCCTTCAAGTTTTATTATTTGGAGTGCAATTGTCGCAACCATCTTTCGAGTGGTCTCGGGTTCGCTTTTTAACTTGGAATCATGATGGAGTCGCCACCGATCATTTTCGAATTAGGTAGACATGACACCTACTTACCATTTATTGGATCTGCGCCTTACCGAAGATCTGTCGGGTTTGGGAGTCGTTTACGATCGAGGAAGGATGAACACCCTCGAATCACCTTTTTAGTACCAATCGATTACCCATTTATCTTAATTGTGAAAATTAATAATTTTAAATAAAAATTTAAATGTAATCCAAATATATTTACCTTTGATGATCATTTGGAATTTAAACGGGTTCTATAGAAATATATATATATATATATATATAAAAGGGAAAATAGGATAAAATGAAATTAAAAAAATAATTAGAGTGCTGGAAAAAAAAAGTTAAGGTACCAATTTCAAGTAAACAAAGAAATAATAAAGTGGATTAAATTGAAATAAAGTTGGAATTCATAGATTAAATTGAAATTAGTGATCAAAATGATTGACATATCATAACAACAGGGATGACGGGCAGAATTTAAAACTTTGCTAATTGCAAATTGGCCCTCAATATATATATATATATATATCCAAACCCCTTGTCATCTCATTTCTCATTTCCCTAAAAAAAGCTCTCCCCTCCTCTCTCAAAATTCTCTCGTCCCCCCTTTCTGTTTGGAAAATCGATCACCGAACCACGCTGTCTGTCATCGCTCTGACCACCACCCATGGTGGTCAGAGAACCCTATCCTAGCCCGTTTGAAAGCCCTTTCCACCCCAAGCCAATCTTACCGACCAAATTACGCTCCCCCTCGGCGTAGATTTAACCCGAAACTATTCGACTACCTCCCCTTTACTGGTGATGCTTCGAGTTCTGGTGGTCATTCGTCTCTTGGTCTCATTTCCCTCACAAAAGCTAAGCAACCCCTCGTTTTCTCGATTTTTTGTGGATTTTTTCTCTTTGAAAACTTATGCTCGTTCCTCCTTTTCTTGTTTGTTTTGCAGGAATTTATATATCCTTTTGAATGAGGTTTTTCCCTTTAGGTCGGTGACGGACTAGCCCGAAAGTTATGGGGTTGTTTCCCACATCACCTGATTTGCTCGGATTTGGGGATCTAATTCCCTCTTATTGATTTTGTTGCTATTTGTGTTCTCCAAAAATCATGGGAGATATTTGTTCCTCTTTTTTGCTTCGATTTGGTTACCAAAAAATAGCCCGAAATGTCTCGGTTTGGCGCGTGTGGTGACCTTGTCGGTGCGTAACGACCACGCGCCTTTGAACGGTGACCGTTGGATTCCTTTAGTGTGTTTTCGGTCATTGGATCAAAGAGTCAGATCCAACGACTCTAATTGATGCGACAGCCAAACTAAACACAAAACCCTAATAGATCTTCTTCTCAATTGGGCTTGCTTGTTGGGCCAATCCTGCTTTCTTGGTTGGGTATTCAATTGGACCTTAACATTGTCTTGGACCCTAGCTGAATTTTGATCGGATTTAAAACTAAAAAATATCAAACCAAAATAATATTAATAATGTATTATAAATAATAATAATATAAACTATTATACGTATAATATATATTACCATATATAAGTATGATAAAATACCAAATATATTATAAAAACACTATATATAATATAATATAATATAATATAATATATAAATATATGTTATATACTATGTAATATAAATATATACTATAATATATATATATATATATTATATAATATATATACTATACTATGTAAAATATATTATATATAATAAAAATAAAAATTCCGAAAGAAAATAGGTATCTACATAAACAATTGTCCTTCCATATGTGTTTTATCACTGCTTACTTTGATTTTGCTGCTGATCTGATACTTGGTTTTTCTCTCTGTATCATCGTCATCTTCATCTTCAACTTCAACTAATTCATTTTTGGTGTCTTCCAAAAGTTAGAGCTTCTAAAGGAATTATATTTGAAGATACTAATTTTTTTTATCCATATTATTATTATTAATATTATTATTATTATTATTATTATTATTATTATTATTATTATTATTATTATCATTATTACTATTATTATTAAATATATTAAATACATATATAAATTACATACCAATTACAACTGGACCGACCCAGTTACAAACCAACCAGAACCGGTCCAAATCCAACCAGAAACCCTAAATATTTGGGTTTCCAGTTAGGGTTTCCTAACCCTAATTTAACCAGCAGCCTCAGCTCACAGCCGTTGGATCTGGCAAGATCCAACGGTCCAGATGGTTCCAGAGGGAAACCCTAGGGTTTGATACCCTAGGGCCACGCGGCGCCGCCCCAGCTTCCACGCGGCTGCCGACAGTTTTCTCGCCGCCTCCGCCGTTGCCACGTCCCAACCGAAGACTCCAGAAGATAGAATACCAGCCGTCCACGCCATGGCTACCCGGTGAGTCACCACTGGTAGTCCGGTGACTCACCGAGAGCCCTTCTTCGGACCGGTCCGACGGCTACAACGGTGGTGGCTATAAAAGCCACCACCCCATCTGCAAGAAAAAAAAAGGGAGAGACAGAAACAGAAACAGAGAGAAAGAAAAAAAAACAGAGAAAGAAAAAAAAAACAACAACAACTAAACCAACGATCTCAGTCAACATCAACACAGCAAAGAAAAAAAAAGAGAGAAGAGAGGAAAAAGCTTACCCTGTCATCGGAGAGCCCCAACCGTCACCGGATCTCACCGGAACCTTCGAAACACCGAAGGTACTTTTGTAGATTTGCTCCGATTGGGAGCTTTTTAGGAGGAAACAATACCGGAACCGTCCTTAGGACGGTCCGATCTATCTATTAATATAAAAAAAAAATTTCCGGCCACCGGATGCGGTGGCCGGCGATGATAATCACGGCGGCACACGGTGGCCGACCGGTGACCGGCTTCCCTCCGGTGAGGGAAGCTAGAGAGAGGCGAGAGAGTTTTTAAACTCTCTCAGTTTAGAGAGAGAGAGGGAAATGAGAAATGAAAGCTGGCCCTTCGGGCCAGCCGATTTGGGACCATATATAGTCCTTCCCGAACGACGTCGTTTCGGGAAGGACTATGCGCGTAATTATAAAATAGTTAAACCCCGTCCGCAGTCCTCTAAACTTGTAAACTTTACATTTTAGTCACTAAATTGAATTTATAATATTTTTAATTCGGTTTTCGAATTTTAATTTCTTTTATTTTAGTCCTTTATATTAAAATAATATATTTAGGATAAATTACAGATTTAATCCCTTAATTTTAATAAATAATATTTTAATCCCTAGTTCATATTTTTAATTTATTTTATTCTAATATATGAATTTTAGATAATTTTATTTTAGTCACTAAATAAATAAAATAAAAAATAACATATTTAATCCCTATAGTTTTGATTAATTATGAATTAGATTTTTTATTTTATTTTTACTGTAATTTAGTCATTTATTTTATATGTTTTAATTTATTGTTTTTAAATATATAGTTTTAATAGAATTTTTCTTTTATTATATTGTTAAATATTTTTATATATATTCATAAATATATATAATAAATAGTAACTTTTAAATATTTATTTTTAATATCGAAGAAAAGGACAGTCTTAATACAACTGGATGTCCTATTCTGATATTTTAAAATTAAAAATTAAACAATATTATTTAAATTAATATTTATCAATATCAAAGAAAAGAGCTGTCTTAAGGCACCTAGAAGTTCTTTTCTGATATTTTTAAATAAATAAATATATTTTTGAAATAATAAGATTAAAAATTAAATATATTTTTGAATTTTTAAATTTTAATAATAGAGACAATTTATAATTAAAAAGTACCAATTTTGGGCGTTGTAGGGGTGCTAATCCTTCCCTAAACGTAACCGACCACGAATCCCTTTTTAAAAAAAAAGAACGAATTTTTGGTTATAAAACGCAGATCAGTTTATCTTTTAATTGATGTTTTCTTAAAAACTCTTTTAAAAGATATTTTTTAGGTATTCGACCTACCTGACTCAAAAGGCCGATGGCGACTCCCAAATTATTTTCAAAACCATTTATTCACATCAATTTCCCCGCCAAATTTAATATTTCGTGCCCGGATGAAAACCGGTTACGACAGCTTGGCGACTCCGCTGGGGACTGGTCAAACTTTTAAAAGTCAATTATAAATTGTCTCTATTAATTAAAAATTAAAAGTTCATATATTTAATTTTTAATTCTTTCTTTTTAAAATTTTTATATATATATTTATTATTTTCATAATATTTATATGTTTTATTTATTTGCAAGTATTTTATTTCATTATTTATTTTTCTGTCGAAGGTTTGAACATTTCTCCTCACACACAACACTTGCATTGCATTACATAAAGCTCTATAATTGAGTTGTCCCTTCTAAGTGGGAGTGAAAGCGACGTCTTCGTGAGAATTTATTCTCCGTGTCAGACCTAGCAAGTAACTTTCGGGGTTCATATGCTCTATGTCTTCGTGAGAATTTATTCTCCGTGTCAGGCATAGAGAAATGTATC